TTGGTGTTACATTATCCCAAGCTTTAGCAACATACTTTATTGCTTTTTTTATATCAATGGGTTTTGATGAAGATGCAACAGAATTAGAAGATGTAGTAGGATTGAGGTATGAAATATGTGAATCATAATTTTTTATTTTTTTTTCAAGCATTAATTTTCTGTAATGTGACTGTAATATAATACAAGCATTAGTATTTGTATAGGATAAATAATTTAGATTAAATTTAAATTAGATAATTGAATTAACTAACCTTGAAGCTGTGGATTATTCCTGCATCACATGGCTGCAGGTGTGCAGTTACATTTGGTGGAAAATGATGAACCTTTATGTTTGTTAATTGTAAATCTTTGGTCAAACTATGTGTTGGTGCATTGTCAACAAGCTATATTATATTTCTTTTTTCAGCTTTCATTCTTTTGTCTAATTTTTTAATATAATCGTTCCAGATTGATACTTGCATCCAAGCTTTACTATTCCAATAATAATCTACTGGTAATGTTTTTTTATCAATTCCTCTTAAAGGCCGTGGAGTTTGATATTTATGTATGAACAAAGGCACCAATTTTTCTGTCCCAGATGCATTGCATGTAAGCAAAACCATTACTCTATTTTTGTCTTGTTTGACCCCCAACAGTGGTCCAGTTGATAATCCACGTGATGGCTCCATTTTCCAAAAAAGGCCAGTTTTGTCACAATTGAAAATATTATCTAATTGGTATTCTCTAAGGATATTCTGCAAATCTCTTCTCATTTCAGGAAGTCGTTCAATTGGTGCACTTTGTGCTTCACCATGTTTAGAATATTCACAGATTGAATATCTTTGTTTGAAATTACTTAACCAACCAGAGGAACCATTAAAATCTTGAATATTTAATAATTCTGCAAATCTTATACTCTTCTGTTTAATAATAAGATCTGTAATTGTCAAATTACATTCAAGGGCCTTTTCAATCCACAAAATTAGAGCTTCTTCAATGTTAGCAAATTGGACAATAGATGGTCTTTTTAATTTTGCTTAATAGGAGTCTGGATCAATTTTAAGCCATTTTTCAGAATCTTTTAATATATCACTAACTTGACTTGTACTGATTCCAAACTGGCTTGCTAGTTCAATATTTTTTGGTTCAGGTTTATTTTTTTTTAATTTACATAATTTGCGTTTTTGTTCTGCAGTAATATATACATGTTTTTTAGAGGAGGATGATTGTTGGGACATTTTTTATTTTTTAATTATAGTTTTAATAATACAATTTCATCTTAATTTATACATTTTGAAAATTATGAATCTTTGATAAAGGATAATAATCCCATTTATTTAATTGTTTATTTGTTATTTTATTTTAGAATTTAAAAATTTTGTTACTTGAACAAATAATCTATTTAATTGTCTTATTATTTTATTTAAAATTTTTAGAAACGAAAAAATTTTGATCTATTGTTATTAAAAAATCCGTGAATAATTTTATTAATTGTGGAAAAAAAAATTTTTTGTTTATCAATTTTAGTAATTTGGATAATTTTATAACTTGAATGTCACGTGAATCCACTGTGGTGAGATTAGTAGACATATAGAGAGATCACCATCAAAAATCCGTTAACACTGTGACGCAAGTTTATTAATAAAATCTGTTGTGACAAATATTTTTTAATTAATAAAAAAAGGGGCCAATACTTAAATCCATTGTGACAAGAAATCCGCTGTGACGAAATCCGCTGTGGGGAGGTTAGACTGTAGATATTAACCCCATTTCTTATTATTAAAAAATATGCCAATCATCTACTTCTATCACATATCACGAATTAATTATGTTCTTAATGAAGATGGTATATAGGGTTTGTATTCACGGATACTGTAAGGTGGTCACACAGGGTCACACAAAATTAAAATCAAGTGTTTTTAAGGGTAGAGTTCAGTTACACAGTATGTCAGATAGAAATGGATGGCAAAATGTGTTAATCATTGAAACAAAAATACAGCACAACCATGATTTAACATTCAACACTTTTAATACATTTAATATAGCAACAAATATAATTTATTCAAATATGTGACCATTTGTTATTACAATTTGTCATTAGAAAACAGATATAATAGATATATTACATTGATCTGTTGATAAT